AAAAAAAAAAAGAAATGAAAAATTCATTATTTATCCATCTAAATACTTAAATACTAATTGTGATCGACATATACCTGTCTTCCCTTAAAGATAATCTATCTCGATCTTCAGCATCATGATCTTTAAGCGAATGTTCACGATCTTCTTGATCTCTTAATAAACGCCGATCACGATCATCGCGTAAAGATCTTTCAGAGATCTCTACACCTGGTGGTGAAAGATCATAATACCCCTCTGTTCCAGGAGGTGCAACATCGTCAAATCTTTTGTGAGGCACATCTCGCAAAGGGCTACCAAATCGTTGGCTAGATGGCCCAGGATACCTGCTGACAAAAAATTCACAAAAAATGTTTATATTTTTTTTAAATTATTCCAATTTAATTATTAAATTGAATTAAACTATGATTCATAAAAGATCAATGCTATGTAAATTATTTAATTTATAAATTATTAAAATATAAAATAGGGAAATTGTACATTTATTTGTATTCTGTAAATCTAATTCCATTTTATAAAATTTATTATAATCTTTTTATTCATAAATTTATATATCTTTGCGACAAAAATTATATAAGAATATGTTGTTATTTAATTATATGTATGTTTATTAATTTCAAAATAAAAAAAAAAATACAATTATACTTTATCTAAGGGTTACTTATTTAAAAAAAGTTGATTTTACCATTTTTCTTGCTTATTGAGAAATTACTGTTAAAAAGTTAAAACTTTTATATAAAAAGTTTTATATTATTAAAATATAATGACTACAAAACCTTTATACTAAAGCTGAAAAGATGAATGAATAAAGTTACTTATTATCAAGTATATTTAGTGTCTAATATGTCATAAAAACGAAAAGCAAATAAATCAACATTTATAACTTCAAATATGAGCACGGTTGTACATTAAATGTACTCATTTAAACATTAGTACTTCATATTTTACTCACCAACAATGTTCTATCATATCATATAAATATTGTTACATTAGTATGTTGTACAATATATCTTTTAGTTTTAATCTGTATTGTTTTGATAATTTTCTTAAGAATATTCTATAACATTTTTTACTTGAAGCACTGAAAACAGACAAAAGAAAATGTTTTTCTTATGTTACAAATGTTGATTTGGCCCTGAATTCACCTGATTCAGAAACCATGCAGATCTGTCAATCAGCTGGGTAGCTTCCACAATCTCCAAGTCGATCCTTGCCGTATACATTTTCCTTGCTTCTGTCTTCTTCTTTCACTTTTTGGTTATTTGTATATTTCACAACGTAATATCATTATGTATATACAAATAATATTATATATGCATGCAAATGATAAAATCAATCATTCAATATAAGAATAACAAATTAAGAAAAGCAAATCAACAAAAATATTTGTGTTATTTTCATAAAAATATTTCCTCACGTCGCGTATACAAAATTACATTTTGTTTGTAAATAATATTATAATGATCTTAAAAGGAGACAATGTTAAAAGTTACAGAATAAAATGTACTTATCTCTGTACAAAGAAAAGTAAAACTCAGTATTCACATGAATCACAGCATAAGAATAACTAGCTTGTAGTGTTATGAACCTATTTTAGATAACGATTTTAGTATGAGAAATAGTACAACTTTACAATTTTAAATAATATGCTTAATGCATATAATAGTAATATTTCATAGACATATTGATATAAATATATTTATATAGCAATGAGTATCTTTCTGATTTGAAAAATTTCTTAGAATACAATAGAATACAATTTTCCTAACAATGCAAGACATTAATGTCTATTCGCACTCATTCCACTGTTATTAATACAGTTATTATAATTTATTAATTTAAAAAATTTTTTTTAATGATAAATTTAAAAATTATTATGGTACTTTGATTATTACAATAGTACTATTAATTACAACATTCAAAATAATTTTGAATTCTTATATTTTTAATAAAACTATGTGCATTAATGTCAACAAATTATAAAGAACATATAAATTATGTATGATTAACTAAACGTGTGAATATTTATGTTAATTTTTTAGTTATATCAATAAAAATTTAAATCATTATTAATCACAGATAATACAATACTGAATTCAAATGGTTTCCTAGATCATAATGTATTAGCTGACAGCTAATACATTAATATTGCATGATTTAATAGTACAGATAAAATTTGTTATTGGAGAACATGAAATTAGAAAGGATCATTAATGATAAGATCTTTTCTATTTCACTTATTGCATTATAATATTGTAATTAACAACCTTATGTAAACAATATTTATACAATACTTCCTGAAGTTTTATAATAAAAAAAATAAAAAAACAAATATTGTACTTAGATCCTTTCAATTAAATGTTTTTCAATTTACATGAAAATTTTGAATTATATAAAATCATAAAAAAATCATACGTTATTTCAAAATAGATTTCATTACTATATCATGTTAATTTTTTGATTTTTTTCTGCAAATCTTTATGGTTTTCAACTTAATAATTGATACGTATGAAGAATTAATATTTGTTAAAAACTAATAGAAATATTTAGAACATAGAATAGATATTATTAAAATATTAAGTACAATCTTGTAAAAATATAAAAATATTCATTAATGTAAGAAAAAATCAATCTATTACGAAATAAATTGATTTCTAAATATAATTGACATACTCTAAACTTAAAATATATCTTAATCTCGATTACCCATAATTCATTTTATTAGTAAAGCATTTCTAAATAATTTAAAATTTTAATAAAAAAGATCACATATTTGCCCTAATATTTGTTTCACTGTTTGTATTGGATAATCAAGATTGTAATATTTGACTTTTGTTTTATATTTATTTTGGAATTATTCAAAAGAATAAAATATTTTTTAAGTATTTAAACTATCTAAGTATTTCTACGAAAAATCTCCATAGTACATACAGTATTTTTTAATAAAAAATACAGTAAAAGAATACAACAGAAAATCCAAAACACACATACGCACACACATGTATACATATATATGTATACATACGTGTACATGTGTATATGCACACACATTCGTTTACACACTCGTCTATCACTTTGTATTAATTATATAAATCAATAAGTCTTTAGAAAAGCAATAACATGCAATTTTTTCTTGCAATATTTTGTTCAAAATATTGAGCTTCAATTGAATTTGTAGCTTAATATTTAACATATATATTCTCTTTACTTCTTATGAATCAAATTTGTTAATGGCTTCATAAACTTATAATCTAGATCATGAATAAAATAATAACTGCTTTTTGAATCGACAACATATCTACAAAACAGTCATCACGTTATTTACAACTTAATAATTAATTTAAGAATTGACAATTATTTCAATCATTTTACTGTTACATTATTTTTACTGTAACACTTTCTTGATGTCCACAATACATAGTAATAAGATATTATTACTATTTTTGTTATAATCATTATTTTTATTAATAAATAATTAAATACTTAATTGAAATGCAGGTAAATGAAAATAAATATTTTTCCATCAGGTACAGTTATATAGAAAATTAAACTCTTTACAATCTAACATTATCACTTTTGTATCAACCCATACTTGAAAATCTCACAGCACACTACCATTATCATATCACTCTTGTGATAACAAAAATTTAACATTATTTGAATAGTTGCATAAATTTATTAATTTGCCAAAATATCTATAATAAAATACATTATAATAATTTCTACATTTATTAATTATTAATTATTTTTTAAAATAAATTATTAAAAATTAAATTTAAAGCCATATGTATAAACTTACCAATTTATACAACTATTTTTGCATATGCG